TAGGTTTTGCGGCCATATTAGTTTTGCATAATTTCATAATAAGTCTGCAGGCAATATTGAGCTTACATAAATTTTTGACAGAAAAAGAGAATTGCAAACTTTTGCATTCTTTTTTGTTTGTTTATATGAAATGAACTGTTAAAATGATTCTTAAGAATAAAGATATGACTTGCAGTCAAGATGGCAGAATAGATGGTCCCCAGCATCACTCTTTCCCACAAACCAACAAATTAACAACTATTAAAAAGTAACAAAAGCCAAACTGGGGCCACTAGAGCTCGGGGGAAGAGGAGGAGAGACCTATGGAGGACATGAAGGCAGGAGGAACCATGATGAGAGAAAAAAAGGACCTCTCCCAACATTTCAATCCCAGGTTGCTTCAAGGCTGGCCCTGGTGAACACATGGACCAAGAGTTAGCAAAAGCCACAGCTGTGCCCTTCATATGAAGTTTCTCAGAGGGTGCAGGGGAGAAGAGGGCCTTAGTGGACCCCAGGCAAGCAAGACCACTAACAGGGTTCCGTGGTCTCACATAGAAGTGAGGGTCCACAGACAACTGAAAAAAGGAGCCACTGAGAATCTGGTGAGTCATTGCAAGGGACAGGTGCATGACCCATCCCATGGGAAGTATTTGGAGTATAGGCAGTGGGGGAGATGAGCCCACCAGGGGAACATTGGTGCACAGCATGGACAGCTGATATGCCCTGCAATCAGCACAGGCCCACTCAATGTAGAATGGTCAGGTATATAGAACTGCAGGGTGTGAAGTTTGCTGAAAAGACTCAGGCCCAGACCAGAGTTTCCATACAATCCGGGTGTACTTGACCTCACAATACCCAGAAGTACTGATATGGTCAACAATTTAAACCTGAGCTGCACAAAAAGCCTTCCCCCAGAGAATCAGCAGCAAAGCAGCAATTTAGCTCAACCACAGGGTCAACTGCTGGTCCCCACAGGAAGTTTCCCCATTTTAGTAGTAAGCAAAGGACAACTTAGTTCCAGTGCAGAGTTTAAATGATAGGAACAGCGAATAATCCAGAACAGAACTGAAAGAAAAAACAAAATAGAATTGAAAGGAAAAACAAAATACCCACAGATCAAAGACAAAATTTAATATTAACTCATAAGTCTAACACCAGCAAAGAACAACTATGCAACCTAGAAGGACCAGGAGCCCCCTGGACTTCCAAGCTGGGGAGGGGAGATGGCCATGGGCCTCAGACACCCCCACCCCAACAAATGCACCTAGCACAGGGATGACCACTGAGCCACTGCAGGAAGCACCCTGGGCTCTGAAGCTGGGGTGGTGGGGGACCAAGGACTTCAGTCATGTCCCCCCAACAACTGCACCAACCCAGCAACAACCAAGCTGCCCCTGGAAGGCCCCATGTCTCCCCTGCTGGAATGATGGGGATCCCATGGGCCTCAACCACACCCATCTCTCCTCCTCTTCCCACCCTATTTCCCTCCCCCTTTCTCTCCCCCCTCCCCCCAACTGCTCTGCAACATGTTAGAATGTAAAAAAATAATAATATTAATAAATAAATAAATTTTCTTTAAAAAAGAATAGAGAAATAAGTCTGGATTAACCTATGCAATATATATTTTGACATGAACTAAGCAACTAGTTGCTTTGATTCAATTTCTTTGTACAGTCTAATCTAATTATACCAACAAATATGACCTTGTTGTCTATTGTATGAAGATTATCAGATTTATGTCAATGTAAACTTTTTTTGTGTGTGTGTGTGTCTTTTTGTCTTTTTTCCGTGTCCGGCAACGGATCGCAACCCTCAGTGTTGCCCCCGTACCGGACCGGGGACCGGCGATGGGATCGCAAGCCTCGGCGTTGCTCCCGCGCCTCGCTCAGCCCGTGCGCAGGAACCAGGCTGTACGTG